TCTTCTTCTTCTTCTTCTTCTTCTTCTTCTTCTTCTTCTTCTTCTTCTTCTTCCTCCTAAGCCTCCTCTTCCTCTTCCAAATAAGAACCAGTGGACCAGAAGAGGAGATGAGAAAGGAGAGGGAAAAAGGGAGAAAGAGGAGAGAGAGAAAGGGAAGAGGAGGTGAAAGAAGCAGAGAACAAGAATAAAAACAACGACAAATATAACAGATAATACATTCATTTTACCTCCCCACCCCCCCCCCACCCCCCCCCCCCACCACCCCCCCACCCCCCCCCCCCCCACCCCCCCCCCCCACACCCTCCCCTCACCCTACCCCACCCCCCAACCCTCCCCTACCCCACCCCTCCCCACCCCCCCCACCCCCCTACCCACCCCCTCCCCTACCCCACACCCTCCCCCCCCCCCCCCCCACCCCACCCCCCCCCCACCCCCCCCACCCCACCCCCCCCCCCCCCCCCACCCCCCCCCCCCCCCCCCCCACCCCCCCCCCCCCCCACCCCCCCCCCCCACCACCCCCCACCCCCCCCCCCCACCCCCCCCCCACCCCCCCCCCCCCCCCCAACCCCCCCACCCCCCCCTCCCCACCCCCTCCCCCCCCCCCCTCCCCCACCCCACCCCACCCTCCTCCCCACCCCTCCCCTCCTCCCCTACCCACCCCTCCCCCACCCACCCCTCCCCTACCCACCCCCCTCCCCCACCCCACCCCCCCCCTCCCCACCCCTCCCCACCCCCTCCCCTCCCCTACCTCCCCCTCCCCACCTCCCTCCCTCCCCTACCCCCCTCCACCCCTCCCCACCCCTCCCTCCCCCACCCCTCCTCCCCCACCCCCCTCCCCACCCCACCCCTCCCCTACCCACCCCCTCCCCTACCCCCCCCCTCCCCCCCACCCCCCCCCCCACCCCACCCCCCACCCCCCACCCCCCCCCCCACCCACCCCCCACCCACCCCACCCCACCCCCCCCCCCCCCCCCCCCCCCCCCCCCCCCCCCCCCCCCCCACACCCCCCCCACCACCCCCACCCCCCCACCCCACCCCCCCACCCACCCCCCCCCCCCTCCCCCCACCTCCCCTCCCACCCCCCCTCCCCCTCCCTCCCTCCCCTACCCACCCCCTCCCCTACCCCCCTCCCCTACCCTCCTCCCACCCTCCCCTACCCCCCTCCCCTACCCACCCTCCCTACCCACCCTCCCCCCTTCCTTTCTAGTTACTGTAGAGGCTCAAGAACACTTTGGAGGCCATCTTGGACTGTCTTAAATCTTCCATTGTGAGAATTTGTGACTTACGAACCTTTGAAGGTTGGGTTGGGATAGGTGGGTGGGATTAGGTTACGTTAGATTTACGTTTGGTTACGTTAGGTTACGTTTTGTTAGGTTAGGTTATGTTTGGTTGAGTTTGGTTACGTTAGGTTACGTTTTGTTAGGTTAGGTTGGGTTTGGTTACGTTGTTAGGTTACGTTTTTGTTAGGTTATGTTTTTGTTAGGTTACGTTTGGTTACGTTAGGTTACGTTGGAAAAAAACAAACGTTCAGTTACGTTAGGTTATTAGTTAGGTTAGTTAGTTAGGTTAGGTTAGGTTTACGTTGGGTTACGTTACGTTAGGTTAGGTTAGGTTGGAGTTAGGTTACGTTAGGTTACGTTTGGTTAGGTTTGGTTACGTTTGGTTACGTTAGGTTAGGTTAGGTTAGGTTAGGTTAGGTTAGGTTGGGTTACGTTTGTTGGTTGGTTAGGTTACGTTGGTTAGGTTAGGTTAGGTTAGGTTAGCTTACGTTTAGTTACGTTAGTTACGTTAGGTTAGGTTAGGTTGGTTTAGTTAAGTTAGGTTGTTAGTTAGTTAGGTTAGGTTAGGTTAGGTTAGGTTTGGTTAGGTTAGGTTAGGTTACGTTAGGTTAGTTGTTGGGTTAGGTTAGGTTGATTACGTTGGTTACGATAGGTTACGTTAGGTTAGATAGGAGAATACTGACCTGTGTTTGACCTGTAGTTTAACTCATGACTCAGCCATGTACCCAAGATGGTGTCAAAGAGTAGAGGTGTTGATCGTCCTCATACTTCCCTCTTCCTGATTCCCCTCCCCACCACCCACCCACCCCTCCCCTCCCTCCCCTCCCCTCCCTCCCCTCCCTCTCCGTCTGCTGTGATCTGATTGACGTGTTTTATTATAGAAATTCCCACACACACACACACACACACACACACACACACACACACACGCAGTAGCCTGACACCAAACCAACAAATAAGACTTGACTTTCAACTGGCACTCATGCTGACTGATGGGCTGATTACAACATGGTGGCTGAAGGCTGACACTCTCCCCTCACCTCCTCCCTCTCCTCTTGCTGTCAGGCCACCACAAGCTCCTCTATATGGTAAGAATCCTTTCACGCGGTACGAATCACCGATCGTCCTGGGAAAAGTACACGCGACATTAAAATAAAAAAAATCGTCATGAGAAATATAAATGATACATCGTCCTAGAAAAAATACTTGAGACGTCAGTAGAGTAATTGATCGTCCTGGGAGAAATATAAATGATAAATCGTCCTGGGAAAAGTACTTGAGACGTCAGTAAGTAGTTGATCGTCCAAAATATAAATGATAAATCGTCCTGGAAAAAAGTACATCCAGATGGCAGTAGAGTAGTAGACCTCATGGAAAAAATATAAATGATAATTCGTCCCGGGGAAAGACCAGAAACATCAGTAAGGTGATATAGCGTCCTGGGAGAATTAACAGGCATTAGAACTTCCTGGGAAAAAGATCCGGGTGTCAGTAAGGTAGAAATCGTCCTGGGTGAAATACCCAGGATGTTTATTGGCTTGGACGTGTGTGTGTGTGGCAGACTGGGACATGTTGTTGACCTATATAGCAGGTTAAGGACTGGTTTCATTGAGCTTTGAGTTAGACGTCAGTGGTACCCAAAGGTCAGAGGTCACTAACAGGGTGATGGGGTCAGGGGGGGAGAATGTGGTCTTGTTTGTTTTATCATTGATGAGACAGATAACATGTTGATAACGTGTGTTCTCTCTGTAGCCTTGATTGTTATACCTCTGGCAACTCCGTCCGTCTCTCTCTCTCTCTCTCTCTCTCACAAACCTAACCTAATGTCCTTAAACCTAACCTAATCTAACCAAGTTATGAAACTATCTCCTTCTCCTATTACCCACACCTCTTTCATTACTTCTAGGAATCGTTGTAAGGTTATTCTTCAGAAAAAAAAGCAGGTTTTATACAAACACCGCTGTCTGACTAATTCTTCGTCTAGTAATCCTTCTGGTCCTTAACCAAAACATCTGTAACAACTTCTGCACTTCTTTTCCCCTCTCTTCCGTCCCAATAACTCTATAGCCAACTCTCCCCTGACAAAGTCAACCTCTTTGGCACCTTATTCTCCTCTAATTCCCACTGACGATTCCCACTCAGTCCCTCCTACTCCTGCTCCTCCTACTGAACCTATGCACTTTCCTATAATCTCCACCTGGGGTTGTTGGTGTGTTATCCAGGTTGGATGTGAGTAAGGCGCATGGACCGGACGGAATACCCCCTCGTGTTCTGAGGGTGTGCTGAAGCCCTAACCCCTGTGCTTGCTCGCCTCTTTTGCCTCTGCCTCAAAACCTAAACTTTTCCTTCTTCTTGGAAGCATGCCTTGGTTCAGCCCATCCAGAAGAAGGGTGACCATTCTAATCCCTCCAATTATCGCCCCATTGCCCTAACTTCATCCCTCTCTATGATTTTCGAAACTATCTTGAACTTCCATTTCTCCGTCTCCTTGAAGGCCTTCTCTTTCGTCGGATCACCAGTATGGCTTTTGCCAGGCGAGATCTACTGGTGATCTCTCTGCACCCATCTTTGGTCATCCTCTCTTAGGGATTATGGAAACTTTCGTCGTGGCCCTCGACATTTCCAAAACATTTGACAGGGTATAGCACAAGTCTTTGCTTCCTAAACTTCCCTCTTATGGTTTCTCTCCCCCCTTTGTTTCTAATCTCCAGCTTCTTGAGAACCAAACCATGGCAGTTGTTATCGAGGATCGATCTCTCGCTCTTTCTCTACCAATAGTGGTGTCCCTGGGGTTCTTTTTATCAATGATTTACTTCACACTGCAACTAATTCTATCCATTCTTACGCTGATGATTCTCTTCACTCTTCTTCATTTTCCTTCCACCTAACTCTCAAACTAGATCTGTTTCTAGAGCTGATATCATTACATCTATCAATGCTGATCTGTGCAGCATCTCTGAATGGGGAGATAAAAGTTTGGTTAAATTCAATTGTAATAAAACTCAGTATTTAGCAATTACATTTTCTAAATTGCATGATCTCCCAATCACATTTCAGGACGCTATCATTCTACCAAATTCTAAATAGATATGCTAGGCCTCACCATTTCCTCTAATATGTCATAGCCCACATCTTAAGCTGCCTCCCGAAAGTTGGGAATGCTGTACAGATGCCGTAGCTACTTCACTCCTGGGCAGTTGTTTTAAGTTTAAAACTTGCAGTACTGCTCTCACATCTAGGGCTCTTCTGTCCAACTGTTAGATTGGGTGGAATCAAAGGCATTTCGTCTTATTAATTCTCCACCTTTAGTTGACAATCTTTTCTTCTCTTCACCCACAATGTTACTTCACTCTCTCTCTTTAGGTACTTTAACGGGCAATGTTCGGTGGATTTGCATCCTGTGTACCGCCGGCAAGGCCGTGGGCTCGTAACACTCTTTCCTCACACAGCTAAACTGTGGAATGCTCTGCCTTCTTCTGTGTTTCCATACTCATACAATCTGTCTCACTTTAAAAGCTGGTTTCCGGCATCTTCGTGGTGTAGATTATCACCTTTTTCTTTTCTATTTTGAATTTTTTCTGTTCTTATTTTTCGCCCCCTAGGCCCTGTTGTGGGTCGTTCGACCCTGCCTGGTTGGGCTAATTCAAAAAAAGAAAAAAAAAAAAAAAACTAACTTAGCCTCACCACCCTCACCTCACCCCTTGTTATATCTACACACAGGGATGCTGGGGAGTAGTGCTGGGGTCTGAGAAGGACCTTGTGGCCACGGCCAGAGTCCAGAACGCCGGGGACGACGCCTTCGAGGCCAAGCTGGTGGTGCAGGTCCCCAGGGGCGCTGCCTTCACCAAGTTCCTCCTCCTGGCCAACACCGCTGTGATGTCACCCCATCTGCTCCTCCAACACCAAGGGCGACCTAGAGGAGGTGTGTGTGTGTGTGCGTGTGTGAGTGTGTGTGTGTGTGGAGTGTGTGTGTGTGTGTGTGTGTGTGTGTGTGTGTGTGTGTGTGTGTGTGTGTGTGTAAGAGAGAGAGAGAGAGAGAGAGAGAGAGAGAGGGAGAGAGAGACTGAATATAATGAACACTAGGAGTGCAGACTCTCAAACAATACAAACCCATTAGTAAACTTTTAGGTGTACATGTACGTATACAAACGTCCAGGTGTAAATGTAGGTGTAAAACAAGTGCACACACACGTCTGTGTACCCCGCAGGTGGTGTGCGACATGGGCAACCCATTGCCAGCGCTGACGAACGAGCCTCGAACTGGTGTCCCAACCTAAGCATGACCAGGTGAACGACACAGCCCCCAGAGTTCCACGTGAGGGCGACCCCACCAACCCCGAGGCCGACCTCAACACCTACGACAACCACATGGCCCGCCCTCCCGGTCACCGTCAAGACCCTCATTGATATTAAGGGTGAGTCTCTATGGGGTTAGGTTAGGTTATATATATATATATATGAGATAAGGAAAAATAATTATGTTTTTGTGAATATTTCTGTTGATCCGAAAGAACTTCACCACCACCACATACCACACTCTCTCAGGATATCGTGGCCAGACGGACCTTTGACTACAACGCCTCGCTCTACAGGATGGGCCTGTGGTGAGGAGGGCAGCATCACCACGAGAGAGATCGGTCCCCAGGTCACCCATGTGTATGACGTCACCAACAGGGGCCCTCAGACCTGCCCTCCGCCCTCATCTTCCTCCGTGGCCCACCAGGACTCTCACTGATGACCCACTACTCTATCTCCTCGATGCTCTGACGGCCCAGCCAGCCGTGTCATTCTGTACCTGACGTCAACTACACCTGGGCCTTGAGGTGAGAAGAGTGTATTTAGGTACCATAACATTATATTAAGATGCCTTATATAATTAATACCCCGTCTAGGCGTATGTATGTATGTATATATATGTATGTATGTATAAATATATTGTTTATTTTTCCACATATATCCACTTTTCAATAATGGACTATATCATCTCTAGTACATTGGTCACTAGTACGAGTGTTACTAGTACGACCAGGTATTACTTTGGCCCCATACTAACAATGTATCTCATAAAAGTATCTGTCCACACTGTGTAAAACATTATGAGATCATGGATGATAGATATTGGGACATGCGTCTTGGGACATGCGTCTTGGGACATGCGTCTTGGGACATGCATCTACTCTGGGATAACAGTAGTTTTATGCAATGTATTTCGGTATAAGTAATATAATGTTTGGTTAGTATGATCAGTATGCCACAGCCACGCGTACCAACCCTCCCGGGACACACTGCCATACATACCAACCCTCCCGGACACACGCCATACATACCAACCCTCCGGGACACACTGCCATACACACCAACCCTCCGGGACACAGAGCCACGCAAACCAACCCTCCCGGGACACACTGCCATACATACCAACCTCCCGGGACACAGAGCCACGCAAACCAGCCCTCCGGGACACACTGCCATACACACCTACCCTCGGACACCTGCCAACATACCAACCCTCCGGGACACACTGCCATACCACCCTCCGGGACACACTGCCATACACCAACCTCCCGGGACACAGAGCCACACAAACCAACCCTCCCGGGACACACTGCCATACCAACCAACCCTCCCGGGACACACTGCCACATGCCAACCCTCCCGGGACACACTGCCATACATACCAACCCTCGGGACACAGAGCCACGCGTACCAACCCTCCCGGGACACACTGCCACACATAGGATAGACTCGTAGCAACGGATTTAAGTTGGATACAGGATAGGACTCGTAGCAACGGATTTAAGTTGGATAAGTTTAGGTTTAGGAGGGAGATAGGAAGGAACTGGTTCACAAATAGGGTGGTGGACGAGTGGAACAAGCTTACCAACTCTGTAGTAAGTGCTGGAACGCTGGATAGTTTTAAAAGGAAGCTAGATAGATTCATGGATGATAGAGAGTGGTAGTAACTCTCGACAGGAGCTGCCATGCACAGGCCAATCGGCCTATTGCAGACTCCTTATTTTCTTATGTTCTTATGTTCTTATACCAACCCTCCCGAGACATCACCAGTTGGCTGTAGCATTTCGGAAGTCACCAGACCCATCCTGGCAGATATTTTTTGGAGATACTGTACATAGACCTAACCTAACAATATACATAGACTGTACAGGTGTATATGCAGTACAAATAGACAATAGACTAACTCAACAAAGCCATCCTATGTTTGTTTACCTAACCAAACTTAACCTAGCCCAACCTAACCTAACCAAAGAAAACCTAGCCTAACCCAACCCAACCTAACCTAACCCAACCCAACCTAACCTAACCCAACCTAGTTCAACCTAATCTAACTAATCTATCTCTGGTTCCCACAGGTTGATGAATCGACGTATGACCACTTGACTCTCGGATCAGACCACTCGGTAGATGGCGACACGTCCTTCCTCCTCCCACACGACATCCCAGAAGAGGAGGAGGAGGGGGAGGTGGAGAAAGAGGAACACCACCGCAGGAGACGCCACGAACAGCGCCACCTTCAGGAGCTCAGAGGAACACACAGAAGGAGGAGGAAGAGGAGCGAGTGGGCAGGATTGGAGGAGGAGTTGTCGTGTGGGCCAACTAACTGTACCAGAGTGGTGTGCTCTGTCTCCCCGCTCAGAGCCACCGAACATATCGTCGTCCACGTCAGGTCCAGGCTCTGGGTCGATACCATCCAGAAGGTAGGAAGGTCGTCATCCCTCGTACCTCACGGGGCCTGGTTGATACCTTACAGGGCCTACTTGGTATATTGTAGGCTTGGTTGGTACCTTACAGGGCCTGGTTGGTATATTGTTACGAGTTCGCTCCAACCAGAGGAGCGAACTCGTAACAATGGTTTTAAATTAGGCAAATTTGAATTTAGGCGCGAAATAGATAAACATTGGTTTGGAAATAGAGTAGTGGATGAGTGGAACAAGTTACCAAATACCATCATTAACTCGAATACGATGGATAGCTTCAAACAGGTTGGATGGATATATGAGCAATAGGGGTTGGGTGTAAATGGGACCGCCCAGTATGGGCCAATAGGCCCGGCAGCAGTTTCCTCCATTCTTATGTTCCTTATGTTCTTATTTTAGGCCTGAATAGTACCTTACGGGGCCTGGATGGTACCTGACAGGGCCTAGTTGGTTCCTTACAGGGCCTGCTTGGTTCCTTACAGGGCCTGGTTGGTACCTTACAGGGCCTGGTTGGTACCTTACAGGGCCTAGTTGGTATCTCACAGGTTAAGTTAGTATTTGGGAGTCTAATCTTCAGGAGAAATAAGCCTGGTTGTCTAATCTTCAGGTGATCACAGTATTATTCAGGTAAAGTCAACTGTTTCACTTCTAATTTCAGGTGGGCATGCCAGAGGTGAAGATCTCCTCCAGGTTGGTGGTGGTGGCGGGGGAGGGTACTGACGGCGGGGGGTGGCGGCTGGGCGGCTTGACGGGTGAGGTGGGTGACGTGTGGTCGGGCATGGTGACTACAGTAGTGAGGACGGGACCTGAAGAGCACCGGCGATCTCTTAAGTGGGTGGTGGTGGTGGGCAGTGTGCTGGCTGGGCTCTTATTGCTGGCCCTCTTGTCTACCTTACTGTGGGCGGTGAGTAGTCTCTCTCTCTCTCTCTCTCTCTCTCTCTCTCTCTCTCTCTCATTTATCTTAATGTAGTTGTCAATTTTGTCATATTTTCTGTTTTTTTCTTTCATATTGACTAAATTTCTTTCATCTCTTTACTACTTTCATAATGAGTCGATTCTTTCGTTTTATTGTTTTTTTTTCTTTCATAATATTTTTTTCCTTAATTCGCTTTATTCTTTTTTTTATTAAGTTTTATTTTGATTTGATTTTTTTCTCAATAATTATCGTATTTTTCTATATAAATTATGTTATATTTTCATGTTTTTTTTTTATTTTTTTTTTTATTTTTTATCGTTCAGTGAAACCTCCATATAACGGACTTCTCTCTCGATATAACGAACTTTCCTCTTCCTGTTGTCTGTTAAATAGAGGTTTTACAATTAACTGACCCTCGATATAACGAACTTTCCTCTCCCTGTTGTCTGTTAAATAGAGGTTTTATTGCATTTCACTTAAATACGTTATATCATCTTTTTTGTTCTTCATATTTTTTTTCTTAATTGTTCTCTTTATTAATGTAAGTATGTCTCCACCAGATGGGTTTCTTTAAGAGGAAGAGACCACAAGACAACACAGAAACCGAGCCTCTTAATGGTAATGGTTTCTACGGCAATGGCAAGACTTGAACACTCGCCTCGGATCTCACTTCAGAAAACCTCGCCTTTCAAAAGTTAACACCTGGACTCAGAATCCGCCTTAGAAACCGTATTCTTGAGGAGAGTTTAAAGCCTGGATATATATTTTTTAGAAACCTTGTCTTTTTTTGTGTGTGTGTGTAAACTAACCCCCCCCCCTCCCCACCCTACCAAAAAACCCCCACCCAGCCTCCCCCGAGCAGAAAACAGCTTAGAAACCTCTTTGCTTTGTAAGTGAAACCACCCCTGGGCTTGGAATTATCTTAGAAAACACCTGTAAACAAGAAACCTCGCCTGTAAACAAGAAAACTCACCTGTAAACAAGACAACTGTAAACACCTTAGAAATTAAAAGAAAATTCCAGGCCTGAGAATTATTCGATTTTATGACAACAATTGACGTTCAAGGATAAAAATTCTTTGACTCAAGTTACAAGAAATTAAACTAAGCTGGAAATTCTGAGGATTAAACAATGAGAAAAATACTTAGATGAAAAAAATCTTAAGATGTTTTAGAGAAATTAATACAAAAATTATCATGAAAACTCTGTCAAAATAATGACTGAAAATTCTAGACCTTTCTTAGGCCATTGTGAGATATACTGTATTAAACACCAGCCATTGTTTTTAATGCTGAAAACTGTATTTAGAATATGTAATATAAGTTAATTATTCTGTAAAATTAATTATTATTGTTACTATTATTATTATCTGCATGAAGTGACTTGTTAAATGTATTTGGTGTTGATTTTAACATACATATTTAACAGCTGTGTTTATAAGTAAGGACAAGTGTACTTACAACTGTGTCTTTGGCTTCTTAAGTGTAAAGTGATGTAGTGGAGTTCAAAACCGCCGCTGTGAATTCAAAAGTGACGCTGAATTCATTACTGCCTTCACTGTAAATTCAAAGGTGACGCTGAATTCAATACTGCCGCCGCTGTGAATTAAAAAAAGTGACGCTGAATTCAATTCTGCCATCGCTGTGAATACAAAGGTGACGCTGAATTAAAAACTGCCGCTGCTGTGAATTCAAAAGTGCCGCCGCTGTGAATTAAAAAATGACGCTGAATTCAAAACTACCAGTGCTTCTGCTAAGTGCTGCACTGAGATGTGAACTGTCTCGTGACCTCTTTAAAGTGCTGCTGTGAGCTGTCTAGTGCCTTTGTGATCTTTTAAAGTGACAGTGTCGCCGTAATTCAGAGATCCCAGCGGCACTTCCCGATTGGTCGAGAGCCACGTTGCGTCACAAGAAGTTAGCAAGGAGCTACCTGATTGGTCGAGAGCCACGATACGTCATGATTCCATCAAGATTTCCTGTTGACCGAATGACTCGCCGTGTGTGTGTATGGATGAGGCTGCCTCGGAGCCTCCATTCCTGAGACTGTGATTATGTCGGCTGGGGACCATATTGACACATTATCATAAATCAACCCAAGACAGCACACACTATCCGTACGGGCATGAACGACGCTCGACTAATGCTCCATCTACCGGATGGATACTGAACTAAAGCTTGTAGTCATTGACACTAGCATAGTGTGGCGCTGTGGTCGTCATCACGCCCCCCCCCCCCTCCCCCCAGCCGCGATTTTTTTCCTGCGGGCTTCCGTCATCTAGAAAAAACGGCAACGTACAATCAGCTGGTGGCGAAATTGCGGATTCTGCGCCCTACACCAACAGCAAGAATTCATTCTACCTTGACTGTGCTGGCTAGGTTAGGTTAGGTTATTATTTGTTTGCATTAGTATCTGTTACGTTAGGATATGCAATATTAAGCCAAGCATGAATGATCGTCTCTTATTCTCTCTCTCTTACGGAGTGTACAGTGGTGCCGCTCTTCAAACACTGCCACGGTGCCTCTTGTTCTACATGACGGAAGCCCTCGGGAAAAACAAAATTTCCCCCCCCGGCCGTGTGTCCAGTAGGCTAGTGATGAATTAGTTGCTGCCTCTTGTGTTCCAGAATAAGTTAATAAGAATATATTTAGTTATATGTTTAGAGCACTTAACTGTACAAGCTTGGTGTGCTTCTACGTAAATTATGCCCTTTAGTCTTCCTAGTTGAAATATATTAAAAATTTTACCTGTTTGTAATGACCAAAAAAAAAAAAAAAAAGTAGAATATATATTGTCACTTTCAGGGATTGTATTTGTATTTTTTCCCATATATTTCCTGTGAAAGATATTATTAAATTTCATCTTTTTTTTTTCCCCGGAAGATTAATGTTTGAGTTATACTTCTGAATCTCATTAAGTTGTGTTCTAGTCATCTTTATTATATACAGATGTATTTCAGTATAGTTTTGTATGTTGTGTTGTAGCGTTATAACCAGCCGTTACTTGTCTGACAGTATAATGTGATACAATGTGTTATATACATTGTATGATTGGAGCCATTATACGAGGAGGAGGTAGAGCCGTGGAAACTATACATTGTACAGATAGTATTTAAAGGTTTGCAATGTTAAGTTTTAAGTTGTTGTTAAACCAGAGACAACGGATGATTTGGTGTGGGGCTCATTCCTGTGTGATGGTCGCCTCTTGCTCTTAAACTTCCCTTTTATTCTACCTGTATAAAATTTTGTATCTTAATTCTTTGACTGATCGTGTGTAGTTATGTAGACACATTTTTTTGTTTACATTATGGCATCTGTAAACAATAATCCCATTTATGACAACATTTATTAAGAACTGGCCATTTAGAGACAGTGTGGATACAACTCACTGCATTCTGAGCCTGGCTTGCACTACACTCGGCCGCCTTCACTTCCTCATCTAGACATGCACTGGGATCGAACTATTGACCCTTAGAAGAGGAACAGAAAACGAACATGACATCCACTCAGCCACTATAGAAAAGAACTTCATTTTTGCAGTAAAAAATTAACCAAGTGTCTCTACTCTGGAAGATGAACTCACCTCTTGTAAAAAAAACCAAAATGTATTCTATTAAAAAACGAATGTATTATTCACTGACACAACCGACAAAAAAACACCATAATAATCAGCATGTAGTTGTATTAAAACATTTCAAAACTAACCCCCCCAAAAAAATTAAATCCCAAGCAATTTGTTTTACCATTTTCTTAGGATCGATTTATTTATTTATTGTCTTGGTGTAAATACAACACAATATCCTTAAAGACTATTCCTCAATAATGGAGTTGTGGCGCAGTATATAGACAAGTTATATTGTGAGAGGCTTTATTGAGTGACTGTATGGGAGAATCTGTTGTGCCTTATGGGAATAAAAAAATTAATCTGACTCGCTTGTTTGTTTTCTGACCTGGTGGTGTAGCTGGGAGGGTGGTGGTGGTGTAGCTGGGAGGGTGGTGGTGGTGGTGGTGTAGCTGGGAGGGTGGTGGTGGTGTAGCTGGAGGGTAAGTGGTGTGTGGAGCTGGTGGTGGTGTAGCTGGGAGGGTGAGGTGGTGGTGAAATGGGAGGCAGGTGTGGTGGCTGGAGGTGGTGGTGGTGGTGTAGCTGGGAGGGTGGTGGTGGTGTAGCTGGGAGGGTGGTGGTGGTGTGGTGGGTGGTGGTGGTAGCTGGGATGGGTGCTGGTGGTGTAGCTGGGAGGGTGGTGGTGGTGTGAGCCAGAGGTGGTGGCAGAGATGGGTGGTGTGGTGGCTGGGAGGTGCTGGTGGTGCCGGGAGTAGGCTGGGAGGGTGGTGGTGGTAGCTGGTGGTGGTGGTGGTGTAGCTGGGTGGTGGGTGGTGGTGGAAGCTGGGAGGGTGGTGGTGTAGCTGGGATGGCAGGGGATGGGAGGGTGGGTGGTAGAGCTGGAGGGTGGTGGTGGTGCAGCTGGGAGGGTGGTGGTGGTAGCATGATATGGTGGTGAAACAGAGGGCGGTGGTGGTGAAATGGAATAAGGCAGAAATGAGGGTGGTGGTGGTAGCTTGGGAGGCGGTGGTAGAGCTGGAGGGTGGTGGTGTAGCTGGGAGGGTGGTGGGATGTGTGGCAGAATGGAGGCAGAAGCTGGGAGTGGTGGTGGTGGTGTGAGCTGATGGCTGAACAAAGGGAGGGTGGGTGGTGTAGCTGGGAGGGTGGTGGTGGTGTATTGGGAGGTGGTGGTAGCTGGATGTGGGTGGGTACAGCCTGAGGGTGGTGGTGTGTGTCAGATGGGTGGTGGTGGAGACGAGTGGCGGAGGTGTGGTAGGTGGTGGAGAAGCTGGAGGGTGGTGGTGGTGTGAAAACAGAGGGTGGTGGTGGTGAACCAGGAGGGTGGTGGTGTGGGAAAAAGAAATGGGAGGTGGCAGAAATGGGAGGGCAGTAAAGAAATGACAGGAGGGTGGTGGTGGTGGTGGCTGGGGGAGGTGGGAGGGTGGTGGTGGTGTAGCTGGAGGGGTGGTGGTGTAGCTGGGAGGGTGGGGAGGGGTGGTGGTGTGTGTAGCTGGGAGGGTGCCAGGTAGCTGGGAGTGTGGGTGGTGGTGTGGGAGGGTGGGTGGTGGTGTAGCTGGGAGGGTGGGTGGTGGTGTAGCTGGGAGGGTGCTGGTGGTCGACTGGGAGGGTGCTGGTGGACTCAGGCTGGGAGGTGGTGGTGGTGTAGCTGGGAGGTGGGAGGTGGTGGTGTAGCTGGGAGGTGGTGGTGGTGTAGCTGGGAGGGTGGTGGTGGTGTAGCTGGAGGTGCTGGTGGTCTAGCTGGAGGGTGCTGGTGGTCAGCTGGGAGGTGGTGGTAAAATGGGAGGGTGGGTGGTGGTAGCTGGGAGGGTGGTGGTGGTGTGAGGCAAGGGAGGGTGGTGGTGGTGTGGGTGAGCTGGGAGGGTGGTGTGGGTGGTGTAGCTGGGAGGGTGGTGGTGGTGGTGGTAGCTGGAGGGTACAGGTGGTGGATATTGGGAGGGTGGTGGTGGTGTGGCTGGGAATGGTGGTGGTATCAGGGGTGGTGGTGCGAATGATGGAGGTGGTGGTGGTGTAGCAGTGGGAGGTGGTGGTGGAGAGCTGGAGGTGGTGGTGGTGAAATGATGGGCAGAATGGGAGGGTGTGGTGTAGCTGGGAGGGTGAGGAAGGAGGGTGGGTGGTGGTGGTAGCTGGGAGGGTGGTGGTGGTGGAGTAGCTGGGGGGTGGGTGGTGGAGTAGCTGGAGGGTGGTGGTGGTGGTGTAGCTGGAGGTGGTGTAGCTGGGAGGTGGTATGTGTAGCTGGGAGGGCGGTGGTACTGGGAGTGGCAGGGTGGTAATGAGGTGGCAGGTGTGAGCTGGAGGTGGTGGTAGCTGAGGTGGTGGTGGTAGCTGGAGGCGGTAAGCAGGAGTGAGGGTGGTGTGCAGGCCGAGGTGGTGGTGGTGTAGCTGAGGTGGTGTGAGATGGAGGCAGGGAAAGTGAGTGGGTGGTAAAGATGGGTGGGTGGTGGAGCAGTGGATGCGGTGGTGGTGCATGGGAGGAGTGGGTGGTAGCTGGGAGGGTGGGTGGTGGTGAAAGCTGGAGGGTGAAGGTGGTGGTGCGTGATGGGTGGGTGGTGGTGGTGGTGAGCTGGGAGGGTGGTGGTGGTGTGCAGATGGGAGGGTGGGTGGTGGTGGTGTGAGCTGGGAGGGTGGTGGGTGGTGTAGCTGGAGGGTGCTGGTGATAATGAGGGTAGAGGTGGTGGTGGTGATGGGAGGTGGTGGTGGATGATGCAGGCTGGGAGGGTGGTGGTGGTGGAGCTGGGAAGGGTGGTGGTGGTGCAGCTGGGAGGGAGATGGCAGAATGAGGTGGTGGTGGGTAGGGGAGGGCTGGCGGTGGTGGTGCATGGAGGGGCGGTGGTGTGAAAGCTGGAGGGTGGTGGTAGATGGAGGGCGGTGCTGGTGGTAAAGAATGGGAGGTGGTGATAGCCTGGGAGGTGGTGGTGGTGTGGTGTGAAATGTGGGGAGGGTGGTGGTGGTGGTGAAATGGGAGGTGGTGGTGGTGGTAAAATGATGGGTGGTGGTGGTGGTGGTAGCTGGAGGGTGGTGGTGGTGGTGGAATGTGGATGGGTGAGGCAGAATGGGAGGGTGGTGGTGGTGGTGGCGGTTGGAGGTGGTGGTGGTGGCGGTAGCTGGGAGGGTGGTGGTGGTGGTGAAATGAGGGTGGTGGTGGTGGTGGTGGTGAAGGAGGGGTGGGTGGCGGTGGTGGGTGAGCTGGAGAGTGGGTGGTGGTGGTGGTGGCTTGGAGGGGTGGTGGTGGTGGTAGGTGAGCTGGAGGTGGTGGTGGTGTAAATGGGAGGGTGGTGGTGCAGCTGGAGTGCGGGTGGTGGTGGTGTAGCTGGAGGGGTGGTGGTGGTGGTGGTGCAGGCTGGGAGTGGGCATTGGTGGTGGTGATAGCCGAGTGGGCGGTGGTGGTAGACGATGCGTTGGTGGTGTGATGATGGGTGTTGGCGGTGAGCCGAGGGCGGGTGGGTGGTGGTAGGCATTGGGAGGGGCGGTGGTGGTGGTGAATGGAGGGGGTGGTGGTGCAATGAGGGTGGTGGTGCAGAGGGAGGTGCTGGTGGCAGGGCAGAGGCGGTGGTAGCCGAGGGTGGTGGTGTGAAGCTGGGAGTGGTGGTGGTGGTGAACAGAGGCGGTGGTGGTAGCTGGGAGGTGGTGATAGTCGAGGGTGGTGGTGGCAGAAGTGGTGGAGGGCGGTGGTGATAGGGCCGATGGGCGGTGGGTGGCAGTAGCTGGGAGGTGGCAGGTGGTGGTGGTGCAGCTGGGAGGCAGGTGGTGGAAATGAGGCGGTGGGTGGTGGTCGTGCATTGGGTGGTGGTGGTGAATGGGATGGCGGCAGGTGGTGGTGTGAATGATGGTGGTGGCAGAAATGATGGGCAGGTGGTGGTGGCAGGCTGAGGGTGGTGGTGGCGGTGGCAGATGGAGGTTGGTGGTGGTGGTGTGAGCTGGGAGGTGGTGGTGGTGGTGGCAGAAATGGGGAGGGTGGTGGTGGTGGTGTGGCTGGAGGGTACAGGTGGTGATGGCTGGGAGGGTGGTGGTGGTGGTGGCAGACGAGGAGTGGGTGTTGGTGCTGGAGGGCTGGTAGAAGCTGGAGGTGGTGCAGAAGCTGGAGGTGGTGGTGTATAGATGGAGGGTGGTGGTGGGTAGATGAGGTGGTGGTGGTGGAGTGGCTGGAGGGTGGTGGTGGTGAAGTCGAGGTGTGGTAGTAGCTGGAGGCGGTGGTGGTGAAATGGGAGGGTGGTGGTGGTAAAGACGGGAGGGCGGCGGGTGGTGGTGAGCTGGGGGTGGTGGTGGTGGTGTAGACTGGGAGGCGGTGGCGGATAAGGGTGGCATAGATGGGAGGGTGTTGCAGGTGGTGTAGCTGAGGTGGTGGTGGTGTAGCGGAGTGGTGGTGGTGCAGATGGAGGCGTTGGTGGTGGTGGTGCAGATGAGGTGTTATGGTGGTGCTGTAAATGACGGTGCGCTGATGGTGGTGTGGTGGTGCAGATGGAGGGTGGTGGTGGATGGGTGGGTGGTGGTGTGATCGGGAGGTGGGGTAGTGATGGCTGGCGGTGGTGGTGCACGGGAGGCGGTGGTACTGGGAGGCGGTGGTGGTGGCCAGAGGCGGTGGTAGTAGCTGGGATAGTGGTGGTGCAGCAGGAGAGTGGTGGTGAAATAAGGGGTGGTGGTGGTGTGAATGGGAGAGTGGTGGTGGTAGAATGGGTGGTAGGAGAGGGTGGTGAAAGTGGGTGGTGGTGAAATGGGAGGGCAGGTGGTGTGAAATGGGAAGGGTGGTGGTGGTGTAGCTGAGTGTGGTGGTGGTGCAATGGAGGGTGGTGGCTGTGGTGGTAAAGAATGGGCAGGTGTAAGGCTGGGAGTGTGGTGGTGGTGGTGTAGCTGGGTGGGTGGCAGAAGGAAATGATGGTGGCGGTGGCAAGAATGATTGTGGTGGTGGTACTGGAGGGTGGTGGTATTGAGGGTGGTGGTGGTGGTAAAGAGCAGGGGTGGGTGGTGGTGTGAGCTGGAGGGAGATGGTGGTGGTGGTGTAGCTGGGAGCGGTGGTGGTGGTGAATGGGAGGTGGGTGGTGTGTGAGCTGAGGTGGTGGGTGAATGGAGGGTGGTGAGTGGTGGTGGTAGCCAGTGGTGGTGGTGGTGAGCTGGGTGGGCGGTGGTGGTGGTGTAGCTGGGAGGGCAGGTGGTGTAGATGGGGGGAGCAGTGGTGGTGGTGAAATGGGAGTGGTGGTGGTGCAGCTGGGAGGGTGGTGGTGGTGTGTAGCTGGAGGGTGTTGGTGGTGGTCGGTGTAGCTGGAGGGTGTGGGCGGTGGTGGTGTGACGGGATAGGTGGTAAAATGGGGGTGGTGGTGGTGGTAGCTTGGGTGGTGGTGGAAAGAAATAGTGGTGGTGGTGTGGCAGATGGGA